GGTAACCCCCCACCCTCCCCCCACCTGCTATGATAAGGGGCGAATTGTCTGACCTTGTCACGAAAGTGCCACCTCCACCTCCTGCAACTGTACGTCCACCGCTCCCCTCTCCCTCCTGTCCGACAAGGATCTTCAACACTTCTCCTGGGAGTCAAAATACACGGTAGCAATCAGAAAAATACAATGCTTCGGCAATCAGAAAAATACTGTAACAATACTTCCTCGTCATTAAAAACACCAAAGAGAAAATTTTCAGATGTTTCATTCTGTGATGACGTTTTAGCCTACGTCAGAAACCTTACCTTTCTGCAGACGAAACTTCCCTGTGATTCTGGCACCCTTGCCCCTTTTAGACTTCCTCCCAAGGATCCATCCGGATGCAGCGCCTGGAGGAATGAACAAGCCATCATGAGCTATATTATCATGTAACTTATACTATCATGTAACTTATTCATTACTTTATAGAATGTGGAATGATGTCTTTCATCATTTGCATCTCACACTAATTGGATAGTTACAAAACACATTATTATCGAATGTAGAAATAGTTGTTTTGTAAACCCACCAGCAGCTTCAATGATGTAGTTTCCAGTCTGAGGAACGGTAAAAACTGGATTCCCTTCTCTACTCTACTATGTAATTTTATTACTATATAGAAGTTGAAATAGGGTCTTTTAGTCACACTCATGAATAGTTACAGACCTATTATCGGTCCGGATGAGGTCCTTGATACCATTTAAATAGAAATAGCTGTTTTGTAAACCCACCAGCAGCTTCAATGGTGTACTTTCCAGTCTGAGGAACGGTAAAGAACTGGATCCCGTTTTTTAATTTTACCATCATCTCGTGGTCCTGTCCGCGGTAGTGTTTAGCCAGACTGGTTGGGCCTTGGCGACCGGTAGCACCGAGGGTGGTGAAGTGAGCCTTCATAAAACCGACGGCTGTGAGAAAAGAAGCGTGCTATTCTAACAATTTGGTTCTATTTTTTCTGCACCATTAATGTTGATATTGTAATATGGTTTCAACATGTAATACTCCATGGAAAAGAAAAATATTTTGGCAATTACTCCACTCAGGAGGAAATGAGTACCTACCTTCGGTTAGGCTCAGCCCCACCAATTGTAAGCTCCTCACAATATTCAGCCCTTGGCTGCAAGGAAAGAGTAGCCGGGCCACAACCACCCAATAACAGTTACAAGGTCTCGTATCCAGTCCAACGGTTTCTTCTAAAACTTAGTTATTAAAAATGTTTCCCTAACAAATTACGAAAATGGTTGTTACCTTGCTCGGATGGATT